CAGAGGTCGTAACAATAAATGCTTCGTTATCGTAGAAGGTAAGAAGGCTTCCGATCGCCGAGAGAAATATTTATGGACAGAGTTTCGGTGTGATTTCGATCAGAAAATTCTGTCTGATGGATAATTGTGTTCTTGATTTCATCGTAAGGATTGTTCGGCGGGGGTTCATAAATAAGATCACACTTCCTCCGCAACTTCGGCAGAAAAGGCCTTGAATAACAAGTACATCACAGAGTAACAACGCTCACGATTGATGTGAGGAAACGCCTATGTTTGTGCAAATCACGGGCTTGGATTTGAAATACAAAGCGAAGGTAGTTTCAAATTGACTGAAGCTTCGAGGGCGTTGTGGTTGATTTCAGTGCCATCAGAATTCATGTTGGATGGGGATGGTGTACAAAATATAGTAGCTGTGAACCATGAGTGGAATGCACAACACCCAGAAGCAGGAACGCGAGCTCACCAATTTGTAATGAAAAGGCAGATGTGGTGTCTCTGCAGTCGCGTTTATTCGAAATGTGAACAATCAAGCATGTACAGTCTGTACACAAAACGACCGTACGTGCGTGCGTTTGCGTCAGTAGCAGTTGACTACGGATCGATACGCGTACGAAGCAACCGAGCGTCGATGGTACAACAAAGATGAGAAAAAAACCGAATCGGTAGGATACCCGAACCGAGGCAGTCATGCCTGACGTAACAATCGATACGCGCTCTACATGTATGTTATGTTCCACAAAGTTGCCCCATGTCCCCGCTTCCTTTCAAATGTGCCATAGAAGACGTTCCACGCAATGCTCTGTCTGGTGTTCCAAACGGTGCAGTTAAATTTCTCTCACGGAACAGAGTTTTGACTTGAAATATGTCGATGATATTACTTTGCTGATTGATAATGCGCAAGCAATACAACATGCTTTGGAGCACTAGCTGATTGAGATGTCCATATATCAAATGCATTTTGGGCCTTCCAAGTACGAAGTGCTTTTACAAGACTGGCAGAAGCCTGCGCCTGCACCCACCGTTTGTAATGATCAGCTAGAGTGAGTTGACAACTTTCCGTAATTCAGGAGCTTGATACCAGCTAGAGGTGGTGTTACGGAAGAGATCAGTTCATGATTAGCAAGAGCTAGAACAGTCTTCGCAAACCTGCGACACCTGTGGCGCCGCGGTGACATCTGGCTGTCTCTTAAGAGACGGGTGTACGTCGCCGCGGTTTGAAGTGTTTTACTCTACGGTTGCGAGACCTAACCGCCTCGTGTTGAGGATGCTTGGCGTCTTTTTGTGTTCGACTATTGATGTCTGTGGAGTATTGCTCGCGTCTGGTTTGAATATCGAGTAAGTAATGACGAGGTGCGCCGTTGTGTGTGAGGCATGGATAGCCGCCCTCTTAACGAAGTGATCTTTCTACACCACCTCCGGTGGCTTGGTCATGTTTTAAGAATACCTGTCCATCGTCTACCTTTCCGTGCCCTATTTGCACGTGCTGGACAAGGCTAGAAGAAGCGACGCAGCGGTCAGGCTATGACATGGCGTTGAGGTGTGAAGAAGTTAGCACCAGCATTGGTTTTGATTAGTGCTTCCCACCTTCGGGGTTAGGGCCAAGGGACGAGGATTGTCGTTGGTCAGAGATGTTGAGAGACATGGCTGGGCTTGGAGTCAGTGTTGCGAATGATCTACGGTGTCTGTTAGACACTCGTATTGCATAAATATATAAGTGTCATTCAAAGAAACAAGCTGGCAAAAAGTATAGTGAGGAGAAGCTGAGATACGGAACCATATATTTCCTATCGGCTGCTTATACTCTGTAGTACTTCCGCCTTCCCGTTGTTGAAGTTGTGTTGGTTCCGTTTGTTCCATGCTCGATTTCATGCCGGTCTCTAAATTATATATATATATATATATATATATATATATATATATATATATATATATATATATATTAGTAAGTAGTATGTAAACGTGTGGACAAAATTTTCCCGGAAGCACACGACCAGACGATTCAAATTAGATTCTAGTGAACATATAACATCGCAGTGTACAAGTATGAAGACGAGTGGGCAGAGGAGTACCAGGTACGCATACCTGATGAGCGGCAACAACCGCGAAACCGGTCGTGTACTTCCGGGGAAATGTTTTCCACACGTTTACATACTACTCACTATCAATATGAGCGCTTGCACACGTAGCTTCGTTGTTCGTTGGGTTAGCAGTGACCCAGACACGAATAACTATGAGAAATCACAGTTGTGATTCATTTGTGGGCTCTTCGATGAAGAGTATCCATTCACACTCCAGACGATTCAAATTAGATTCTAGTGAACGATATATATATATATATATATATATATATATATATATATATATATATATATATATATATATATATATATATATATATATATATATATATATATATATATATACTGGTAGTCAGTAGTTTGTAAACGTATTGACGAAATCTTCACGGAAGCACACGACTGGTTTCGTGATTGTCGCCGCTCATCGGATGTGCCCACCCAGTATTCCCGTGCCTACTCATCTGTCTACCTGCACCCTCCGATGGTAAATCTTCACCAGGGTATAATTTGAATCTTCTGAAATGGTAACGGATAATCTGCGTCTAAGTGTACACAGGTGAATCACAACTGTGGTTTCTGTTAGTTATTAGTGTCTGGGTTGCTGCTAACCCAACGAACAATGAGACTGCATGTTCAAGTGCTCATATGAAAGGTAAGTAATGGAGTCACAGGCAGTGTACTTGGTCCCTTGCTTTTTCTGATGTATATCAACGACGCAAATATAGCCTTCCATATCTATTCTTTCCATCTTTGTGATGTAAGTACGACACTCAGAAACATTTGCGCGGATCTATCTGCACTTAGTCGTTGGTGCCACGACAAACTTCTTAGCTGTTAAATGTCAAGTTTTATTGATACTAGTGATATTCATCCCCGAGATTTTGAAATTGCAATGGGTCTCTTATTACTTGCTCATTCACCATTCGTCATCTTGACCTCGCCCTCTCAGTATCCCTGATTTTTTTCACAGCTTGCTTTTATCGTATCAGCTACAGCTAGGTGAAGCCTGAATCTTGTTTGCTGCGCTTCCTATCCTCAGGAGAGTATCATTTGTATCCCTTAATCCCATGTTAGACCCTAGCTTGAATACTACCCATTAATTTTACCAAGCATGCCTGAATCTATTAGGATGGCTCTAAAAATAATACAAAGCCTCTGTTACTTGGATGGCCCGCAGTGTTAAGCTACGATGAACATTGCCAGTACATAAATAATGACTCTTTGACTTTGTCCCTTGAAACAAAATTTAGTTTGCTTGCATATATTGCTACATCAACGGCCCTAGTTATTATCAAAATAGTAGCTGAGTTTGCTCTATGGCCGCGCTTCTTTCTCCTAGTTTGTGGTAAGCTCTAGACTAAGCCGTCTATCAGTATTTCAGAACTTCAAACCGAGTCTCAAGTTCTGTCTACACGTACTTCGTACCTTCCGTTACCCATGTCCTGGATCCTTATCAGAAGATGGAACATTCGAGAATGGTCTTGACTTTAAGTGGCATACTCGGGCCTCTATCCTCATCGTATCATTTGAAATTCCAAAGATCAAACGGATTCATTGCTGTATCTATTTTCATGCCCGTTTTTCATTTGGGTGGTTTTACCATCATCCCAAAAATCCCCACTAGCCGCGACTGCAATATGTTTACCACAGCAAATCTCAGCACGCGCAGATGGGACGAAAACAGAACATAAATGGGCTCAGATATAGTATTTTTACATTTTTATATTTATACCATATTTTATCACATAACTGGGGAATGAAAGAACCTAGGTTTGATAAAATGTTGATATGTGGTAAATAAAGTACAGACAAATATATCGAAATAACACGGGTTATTTCATTTGCTTATTTTCAGTCTGTGAATGTTAGTTACTCATTCTGTAACAAGTCTATTTTTAATTTAACAGTTACACCTGCTTTCAGTTTCGCTACTTATACAAACCGAGAAATACTCAGTGATCGAAAAATTTCGTAAAGGTTTGGCGGGAAATTTTCGTTTCATTTCTTAACAATAAGGATCAAAGTTTCCCATGAAGAGCCCATTGTTGCGCAACGAACCACGTCCGAGGAAGTTCGTCAGCCTGTATTCTCTATCAGTTCCAGACAATCATTCAACCTGGACAGTCGACGAAAACCCAAGATTTACTGGGGATGCTGTCCTGGTCAAGGTGCCATTGCACACAAATGTGGTTTTCACAAAACAGTATGAGTGGTTAACGCGTGTAAAGTGACAATTTCAGCTATACAATAGCTAACGAGTGGATAGATCAAATAAAGGTGTTTTCTTTGTGTTTTGTCTACTCCCAAACATTGAAATAGTAAGTTGCGAAATTCAATCTTTCCAGGGTATCTTCGACCGGCCTGTGCAATACCGCCGTTTCCAGCCTTTTACTCTACGGTTGCCAGATCACCCCGCATTGGGAATGCTCGAGGGCTTTCCATGTTTGACCACCGATGTCTTTGAAGCATTGCTCGTGTCTGGTGGGGACATCGTGTAGACATTGACTAGATTCGTTGTCACGTTGTACGCAGTTTGACCGAAGTATCATTCTGCACCGCCTCCGGTCGCTGGGACATATTTGTCCATCGTATACCTTCCTATGCTAGAAACAACAAAATGTACGGGGGGAAAGCAAAGTAACTACGCACTGCTCCTCTTGACCGTCCACCTTCTGCTTCCCGTAGTACTTTATTCCCCCAAAATTTTTACCGTTCAATGGTGCTGGTATCATCCTTGATTTTTTACTCGTTGGTAAATGATAAAAAATACACCTTAATGAATCGCATATCGTTCGAGACTTCACGGGGTACCAAACTAGTGAAATAACTAATGACCTAAGGGGTTCTAATTTGATTTCAAACGTCTTTTTACATACCAGCTGACATCGAATCTTTTATACTTTCCGATTCCCATCATATTAGCTTCGACAGCTACAGATGCTGGAGCTTATCCGCAATCACAAACTGGAAGATGCTCTTATATTCGCGCAGTCATACCTGGCTGATCCGGTCGCCAAACGACTTTCTGATCACCCGCAACTACTGAACGAAATGCAAAATACAATGGCTCTCTTGGCATTTGACGACCCAGCTCAGAGTATCTACGGTTGTTTACTTGGTCCTCAGCACGCAGAACTCGTGGCTGGTGCATTAAATCGAGCTATTTTGAGGCACATAGAAGCTTCGGGGGATGATTTGGATGGTATAGATGAAGGAAAAACTTCAGCTACAGCCAATACAATCGGCTACTCTGGTACCTCGTCAACTGTCCCAAGATTGACTAAAATGATGGCTATGCTCTTGCATTTTCGCGAATTGGCTCAATTGGAACTGCCAGCTGAACTGGCTTCTTTATGAACTGTGATACATATGTATTCTCCAAAGTTTTATTCTCTGCACCCGTTTTTCATAAGTTTCGGCTTTCATTGCACAACGACATGCCTGCCGAACGACCATCAAGTTGATGTTGCATCATGGCGAGACGATAACAGCCTGTTACTTGAAATTTTTTCATTATGTAAATGGCCGTCACGCTGTGCTGAATCTCAGTGATCCCCACCATCACTCTAATTTCAACGACACCTAGAACCCTAATGCGTTGACCATTTTCTCGTCTGTCGTAATCAATATATCAACTCGATGGTGACACTTGTTTTCCTTTAAGTAGTGGATGTAAGCGGCTTTCACGATCGACTTGCCCACCATATAGAATAGATCGGACGACTTCAGTTCTCTAAAAGCACGATTGTTATTTTATCTCTCCCGACAGGAGACTGTGTCTCAATGTATCCTCAAACAAACGACAAATTCGCAGTCAAGGAAGGTTTGGCATAAGTCCTCATCGCTTAGATGTTAATATGCTTTTCCGAAACAATGCTACATGCTGTTGATTATGCATTACCATAATCCTGGTTAGGACAAGACTGATTGCATAATTTAGCTTTTCAGATGTATTTGAGACTGAGTTGGATTTCTCAGACCGCAATTGTTCCGTTCTAAAATTACACTAACCAGGGTTTTATGCAATCACTTACCATTCAAGGAGTACTTATTTAAGTACTTTTGAGATTGAAATCTGACATGCGGATGTTGTGCTGCTAGTAGTACTGGTTTAAAATGTCAATCCCACCATCCCTCATTTACTGTGTATAAGGTGGTAAGTATGGTGCTGGTTTTATTCAGAATTCTTGAGAACCCCCTAAACCAACGAGGGTTGATTAAATCTATCGATTAGCGTAATTTTGCTAAAGCTGCTCCTAGGAAAATGGCTGAGGGCAGTGTATGGTCGATATACTGATGGAATTTGTTTGAGTCTGAAACCAGAGTGACCCGATTGGAGACGGGAACCTTTATACTGTAACTTAGATCCGGTCATCACAAAGATAACATATCTTGGTGTGGTGGGATAGCTTGCGGGTCTCGATGACCCAGCGAGCTTCACAGTATGGCGGGCGATTTATTCAAGCCTGAATAGTCAATGGACATAGACCAGATACAGTTTAATCCCCTGACAGACACATTGACCATATCTGTCTGGTTTCTGCGATGGGTTGAACGGTTACCGAAGTTTGCATACAGCGTAGATCGTCGCTCAGGATAATGGTGACCGCTAAGCCTGTTGCACTGATGAATATGGCTAATGATATGTAAGTCACTGCTCAGACCTCTGAGCCCTGCTTTCGCTCTTTGTCTTCCGGCCTTAACCGTCTCCATTCATCCCATCTTACACCATTTGCTGCTTCTAGCAATTTGACCACATCTCGTTGTTGAATGCGTTCGCAAGCAAGTTAGTATCCTAGACAGCGTGCTAACCCCCGTACCAGTCGTCACTAAGTTTACCTTATGTGCGGCGTTTATTTATTAGCTGATGACGTTTATTGTATGCGCGAGACGAGAATCCAGGATGCAAATAGTATAGCACAACCGACGGCTGCTAGACCCATAAAGTATTTCTTATGGGTAAATGCTTTATGGACGGTCTGCTGAGGGTAAAAGCGAGTACAGTTTTGTGAAGTAGGTTTGACATGTAGTCTGCTATGTGCGGTAGTGCTTCGTCTTTCAATTTGTGTCCGAAAAGAGTCATAGCAAGCGATGTTAATTCGCAGTTTAGTCATATGCTAATCGACTGAAATTCCGACTAACGAATTTCACGATAAACTCATCGGGATTCCCCACACAAGCTGGATCTCTGACACCAGTTAGTATATTAAGTGCATCGGAACCCTGTCTGTATGATCATTATGCTTTTCTCGCCCAGCAAACTGATACTGGCTTTAGAATTCTTTGGTTTAGTCCAGATCATCGATTCTTCACGCAAAATTTGCGGCATAGGAACAACAATTCGACAGACGCAGACTTATCACATAGAATAAGTCACCGTTGGTGCAATGCTGTCGTCAACTAGACTGCATTGGATCACGTTTGTGGTCTCCGACAATGTTGTTTTAGCTGCACTTCAATTCACTGGACGTCGCCACAGGTCACAAACCCTGCTCATGGCTCTTGTTCGGCATTTGGTCACAGCGATTGAATCTCAAGAATCAGTGTACCAAGCCAACGGAAACGCCACATTGTCATTGAAAGCAATTCGATGTGAGGTCGTGAGCAGTCTTTGGATTTGAGGATCTAAATAGGCTACTTGAACGAAAGTAACTGCTGTGGTGGGGGTTTTCAGCTTGACAAATTAGGGCAAGTGTCTGAATGTTTGTGGTCCATGTCATAGAAATTGCATAATCCACTTTTTTGAGCCCATCCGGTCCACAGTTGAATCGCTTACGTAAAAGATCGATTCAGTTGAATTCGTTGAACTTTGAAACTGCTTATATTTTTCGTGTAAACTGTCATACCCTACTTATTTCGAAAGACACTGTGGAGCTCAGTAAATTGGGTTCTACCATGGAGGGCTCAGCTGTACATCTGCAACTGCAGGGCTAAGATAAATTGCGTTCGAGTTGGTTAGTTACATCGGTTTCTTAGGAAATTCTAATAATGAAGCGACCCGCGATAGCGACAAAACTGGTTTACTACATGAACATGAACGAACAACCCGAACAACAGGTCAGGTACTTAGGGGGAAAATTCAGTTGGTCAAGTCTTCGTCACGAAACGAAGCGCCATGGATTGCAGCCATTGTAGGTCAAAAGGAAGGTGCGGGAGGGTTATCTTGTAGCACGGAAGTGTGCAAGAGCTTAATCCGAACAATCTGGGCTCAACTGGAGTTCACGGCCCTTAAGCGTATGGAAAACAACTTCAAATCCTAATATACTCAAAAAAAAAACGTAGAATGCTATGGGATATCCTGTCCACTAAGTTCATTACTATATAGTAAACACATCGACCCATTGAGGAAAATGTGCCTAAAAGCTGTGAAAACGTGATTTGGACCAATTAGTTAAAGTGACGGTGACCCCACCTGTTCGCATAGCTAGAGGCAGACGTGTATCAAGGACGCATTCGGAGTGTTTCTTCTTTTTTGCGATGCATTTCGAGTATTACTAACGTTAAATAACGACGACAGCGTTCACAGGTTCGGTTCCTTCGAAGTGGTTACCATCCTAATGCTATAGGCACGCAAACCACTGTTATTTGTTCCCAGAAAGACAACTATTAACCTACAAAAGATAAAAAGCGAACAAAACGACTAACTTTCAGTCAACGTCCCCGCAACCGACGAGTACGTGGAAATCTCAAGTGTCTGATATTAGACTCTAGTTTGCTACCCGTGTAGCAACTTTCAAAAGCTGCACAAAGTCGAAATTGCAATGAAACTAGACAACTCCCTTGATGTATTGCTGGTTGTGCTGGAAAATAAAGCTGGGTCGTAAATCACTCCAAAAAAGTTGGGATGGTGGGACGAGGTGTTCACTGAGAACAAAAGTTTGACCTGGAGCGCCTTGGGAATTACTGGCGATATTTGTGAGAATAAATTTAGAAATTCTGTCGTCAAAATAGCGATGGCAGCTCTGCGAAGGTTTGCAGTGAAGAAAGACTAACTGAGTGAGATATCAAACGAAAGGAGAGGAAATTTACTGAAACCCATTCTCCATCAACTGCAAAACGTCCTACCCAAAAACCAAATTGCGCCTGTTGTAAATCCAAATTCCTTAAGTCTTCATTTTGTTTAGCAGATAGATTTCGGGGGCATTTTTTCACGATGTGCAGCATTGTACACGTTATTCCGCTTCCTGTGCTGTGCTATCGACTGCTACTTCGGTAATCAGAATCCACATTTGGACTGTTTGCGTTCTTTATTCTCATTGGTCAATTCTTCTGGCTGGACGTCCATCGTGTATTGGGCCTTTTTTTGCTCGAACCACCAACCGACCGCTGGCAGTTCACCTCAAATGTAGGTTTTGCTTCTGTTACCCATTTTTCTTGTTTACTACAACATGTATCACTGATAATTATTTTATTATTACAGAACCAACATCTTACCGAGAACCTGGCACCGTGTCGACCTCGGGTGCGTCTCTATTCAGGTCGCAAACCAATGTAGATCGTTAACAAAAGATTTGTTATCTACACGATATGCGAACTTCTGCCTGTGTTTCCGCAGCAGTGACGAAAGTTTTGAATCGAAAGCAGATGACTTTTCAAAATCCGTACTGGAAAATATATCAAATAAATTGAGTAACGTCTATGTGGAACCCGACGAGCGTCTTAATTTACATAAAACAACGTTACTTAGCTGAAATTGGGAACCAGACATCTCTCCAATGTGTCAATGGGATCAGTCATCGATTAACTGAATTTCTTCTCTCAGTATAATAAAATAACTCGGTAAAAACGACGTTTCTTTCGCCGTATCGACTGCTTCTTAGATTAGGATAAAGACTTATGGTTCGAGGTATTAAAAGTGTTCCTGATGATGGACGTAGCTGGATAGTAATTTCAGTGCTTTGTAGCTGTCGCTAGTTGCAAACTGAACTGAACGTATGACTCAAATAGCAATTCGAAACCAATTTATACTTGATTAAGCCCAATCGTGTAAGAATTAAAGTAAAACATATAAAAGAATGCGAAAGTGAATGCTGAAGAGAGTAAATGCATGCTCGCAAGTCCCTCGGTTTACATTAGATTACTGGTCACCGAAATTTTGCTAGCTTTTTTGTATCACCGAACAGAAGTAGTGGAATTTGAACCAGTTTTGCCTACGGGGGATTTAGTTGATGGACCTCTGAGATAGCCAAAATGTAATTGTTCATATGTTCGAAGGATTATCACAGAGCCAATTTCCAGTCAAGTTCGGTCTTTTTTACTGAATGTTGGGTGGAAGATTATTTTGTGTTCTTCCGCGAATCAAAGGCCGCTAAGTGTAGACGATGGTCTTTATATTGGCTTCGTCCGAAATCGGATTGATCTCGGAGCTCATCTAGCCAACGGTCAAAATGCAAAACTGAACAAGTTCAACGTGCTTTACACTGGCTGTAGAAGTTTGATTCAGACAAACATTACCCATTAACTGGGTTTGGTGACTTCGGTTGCTATCTCCGAGCAGCAACCTCAACCAGAATTAATGAGAAAAGACAACAGCAGGACTGGAAAAGCATGTGACAAAACGTCTCCTAGGTCAAAAAGCGTCCCATATGAACAAGGCTCGATTGTATTATTGTCATGAGAGTATGGAGCTATTTGATCCGACCCACTAACTCTAGTGAGAATTTTTTCCGCCTGTGAATTATCTTGTTTTATTAGCGTAGGAAACAATGAACGTATAATTTTGTAGTATGCAAGGATCAGTTTCTTCCGTCGGGGTTGCTCGTGTTCGATCTGCAAAATACAAAATATAGAAAACTCTATGAGCACAAATGCTCAGTACGTGTACCAACAGGATCCTACACTTACATAAATCGAACACCGATATGGCTGCAAACAGCCGCCTCATTACAGTCTGTTGGCCCATATACCCAAGCGTTGCACGCAACGTATAGTTCCGACTGGTGTGGGCGACCAAGGCTTGAGGGTGAAATAAGGCTGACATGATTCATCCCTCATTCTATCGATCGGCCATCCTGTTGCTCGTGATTTCGCGGGATCGGTACTGAGCAGGAGCTGACGAACTGTCTGCCAGTGAGACTAAGCCGTCTATCGAACGACGTGACAGATCATACCCTCATAGGAGCCACATTGTAAAAGTGAAGATCGTTGAAAGTACACTGACGAACACCGCTACTGGTGGTAAATTTGGATAAATGATTCATAAACAGGCAGCTTCAACTGCGTGTGTTGAAAGAATAAATACAGGAAACTGATGCACCGTATCTCAAATTCGTTTTCACTAGTTTTTGTCAGACTTGAAGTTTGTTTCAGGAATGCAACTAAAGTCTTGACAGTCTTCGTAGTCAATGATTATTGAAACTAAAACGGAATGATTTGACCCAGTTCTATACAGCGCGGATACAACCAAATGGTATCTCAAACAAAGATAGAGACCTTAGTCCATTCCTAGCGGGGACGGCAAACCAATCGAGAGCAACAATTCGAATAAGAAGCGGTGACTATTTTGGAAGTGTCCCACGGTGGATGAAAAGAAACCCACTGAGAACCGGGCGAAACTCATCGGAATCCGGAAAGGAGGGGGGATAGAAAGATGCCGATTAGGACATTCATCGGAGCAATCGGACTAACACAGTAAGGGTGGTACGCAGGAGAACCAGCTCAAAGGCCGCGGGCACGTGGCCAAACATGAGCTGAAATGCATAAGGGGCCGGCGGACTGATGTTGCTGCAGTGCGTGTGTGAGCAAGAAGCGTGTCCGGGCATTTGGTCGTCAGACATTTGAATGATTGAATTACGCTTTATTCATTTAGGCCTGTCAAATGTCACGCTCCCAGAAAGTGGGTTAGGCGTAGCTCGTTCCCTTGGCCATTCTCGGAATATATAGTTAATACCTGGTAACCCAGAATTATAAAGGCATACACTGATCATGAATCGACAGACGAAAGGGCTTGCGCTATGCTGTTATGCAAATGCATCACAATCAAATTATTTTGATCGTTATGACTTCACGACAGCTTCACACCGGAATTACTCAAGCCGAAGGCTTGAAACCAAGGTCAGCTGGATTGGTAGTGAGGTCTACCACAGCAGTGCCTGGTGAATCTGGAATTCAAGCCATTGTCCTTTTTGAGGTGATTGACACTTGATCCACTTGACTACCTCAGTGAATAAAATGACTCACCTTAACGACTACATGCGACAGGCAAAACAGGATTCATCATTGGCCTTGTCTTAACCAATTGGGTGCTACGTCTGAAAAACTGAGGTTGGTTTGCGCGATAACGGGAACACTATACAGACTGTGACATTTTGGAAATACTACATTTCCAGGTTCAAAAACAATGGAAAAAGGTTTGGGACTGGATTTCTGCTACTTTTTGAGAGTGACATTTGACAGACTTAAATAAATATAGCGTAATTCAATCATTCGAATGTCTGGTGACCAAATATCCGACGGTCAAATTTCCATTCGACCAAATGTCCGGCGACCAAATTTTCCATTCGACCATGTGTCCAGCGACCAAATGTCCGGGAGCCAGAAAGAGGTGTGTATATCGTCGTCCATGTTTACCTATACTGAATTTTCTGACCGTACAAATATCCTTAGATCTCGCTCGTCTCACCCCCTCGTTCGTTAAATCTCTACTCTTGTGCCCACTGGCACAGAAGGCGATAAGTGAATAGGATCGCTTAATTCCGTTTGATATATTATACAATAACAGAGGACTGAAATATACGGATTCCTTTGAGACTAAATTGTGAATAGTAATCGAATGATGTACGAGAGTTTTTAAATACAGTCAGGAAGTACCAGAATGGGCGTCTTTTATAATAGTGCACAAACGAGAAGATAGAATCGCGTCAGGAAATCACAGGTCGCAACGGCTCACCTGAAACAAAGAACAGAATAAAAGAGAACAGGTAGAAATAATTTAGTGTGGCTGTTTAATAACAACAGATAATCAAAGCTCCATGTGTGATTAGTAAATTTCAAAATGGCTTGTCGCCATTAAAAGAGCATGCAACAAATGATTTCACTTAGGGAAATTTTATCCTAGTAGTGAAACTTCGTACATCAGCCAGTTCGCGTATCACGAAATGAATGGGAGTTTTGGTACACATGTAAATCATCGAATGACCGAACAAATTAACAATGGCATTATGATTGAAAAGATGGGAAGAAGACAGTTTGCGAATTATTCTTCCCTACCTAGCACACTTCACACTGCGTAACATGTACTGTTTTGGGCAGGGGCTGCTATTCCTAGAAGCTGCACGATTTTCAAACACGTCGATAGTTTACTCTCTACTCGAGGATTCGTCGAGAACAACTTTTGGTTATTCTCTCCATTTTTGGTTGAAGTAAATAAACTATTCAATTTCGCTCCGGAGTGTTCATATAAACGTCGGCAAACCCGGGGCTTAGTGGTTTTGTGTCTGTTTTTCCTTAAGCTAGTAGACAGGTTAGACTCAGGCACTGCACGTTCCTTGTTCACGTATCGTGTATCTGCAACTATCGCCGTACAACTACGGCTACGGCTATCCTTCAGTGATTCCACACGCTGTGGAAATTGTGAACAATGAGCTTACGTCTAAATAACCAGGTAGTCGCATGCACAATTTTGTCTCACACAGTTAATCAAAATGCGCCCGAGAAAACTTGTCACTCAAATGGTAGCTTGTTCAGTCCCTGTAATTTGATTTAGATTGTAAGAAGCGTACATGGGCAATGTTGTTGACGCTCATCAGGTATGCGTACCTGGTACTCTCCTGCCCAGTTATCTTTATACCGTGAAACAGATCGTGTGCTTCCGGGAAGTTTTGACCTGTCCCCTAGGTATAATACTATCTGATGAGTGACGTAGGTTGTTGGGTTTACGATGGGGAACACTGATGGCCAAACCGTGCCCAAGCTAGCCTTGATACGTGTGAATGTGAGTGTAGACACCACCTCTTCCGGAAGCTCATTCAGTGCATTAATTACCCTAAAAGATAATAAATTTGTCAGGATGCCTTAGTTTTGCCACTTGGATGTAAAATACTGTCCTCAACCAATGTCAAACCGAGGTTCTCTCATTCGGTTTGAAATATAGCACCCCACCTAGAAACATCAGTTTTGTGGAATCACAATCTCGTTTTGAATATTTCTTCGACGAACTGTTATCCCTGAACCGAAAATAGACGGAAGCAAAAATCTGATTTAAAGAAAGACTTGTTGATCTCGTACTTCAATACAGATGCGCTCCAGCTCGACAGAGGAGTCTTTTAAATGAAAATCATCTGAAGGCACCTCAAGAATTGAGATGCAACAACAATATCGTCATAATGCAACCTGACAAAGGGTTGGGGGTGGTCATCATGAATGAGACAGATTAGATAGGAAAATGAAGATTGTTCTGACAGGTGCAACCCAATTTCAAGTATGCAACAAAGAGGACAACGTAACAAGTCTAGAAAAAACCATCTCACAAGATGTACAACTGCTACTCGAGGGTGGGATCATTGATCAGTGCTCCGCGAAACAACTTAAACCGAGCGGTCGTCAACCATCTCAGCCCTACGGACTACCTAAGCTGCGCACGCTCAGTGTGTCATTTAGACCCATCCTATCAATGAACTACTCAACGCAACACATGTTAGCGAAGTGGTTGGTCAAAACACTGAGGCCAATCACAAAAAACCTGACGCAATACAGCCTTGAAGATAGCTTCGAGCTAGCTAAAGCTCTGGATTACATCAATATCAGAAACTGACATTCATCCAGCATGGACATTAAGTCACTATTCACCACCGTGCCGGTGCGCGAAACACTTACTTTTAATTGTGACTACGTTCACAAAGAGAAAATCAACATCAAAATTCCAGTAACGAAACTGAAACTCCTATTATTGTGGTAAACTGAAAACGTTTCAGTATTCTGAGCAATTATTTTCACCAAACTGATGGCGTGGCAATGAGGAGCCCACTAGCCCCCCCCCCCACCGCTCTCCGAAATATTCAAGACGATTCTGGAGAATAGGATAATAGACACTATCGGTGATACGCATCTCTACAGGAGATACGTCGGTGATATCTTTGTTATCAGCATCTCAGAGCGGGACCCCATCGATCTCTTCCGTAGACTCAATAAAGTTCATCCGAACACAGCTCACCGTCGAGCACGAGTCTGGGAACAAGTTCGCATTTCTCGATATTATGATAACCAGGCGTCCAGGGGGTTGCGTGGACAGGCCGCTTTACCGAAAGCTCACATGGTTGGGACAGTACCTGCATTTTACGAGTTTTATGCGCCTGAGTTACAAACGTGAGCTAATGCGAACCATGTATGACAAAGACTGCAAAATCTGTACGACAGTTAGTCTGAACTGTGAAACGGAGCTGCCAAATAGCATGTTATAGTCAAGTGGCTACCCATAACATTTTATCAAAAGGTACTGAACAGCATGCAGTCAAAGTCAGTCCCTAAATGTAAGGTTTTCTTGCATTCATCCTTCAAGGGCGATGACAAACAAACCGTTTGCGCGCCGCCTGAAATCGGCATTGAAGCAGTCATACAATGCCGCCGAATCTGCCCTACTCTACACATGCAGACAGACATTCGTCCCTCCACCAACCAAACTTTATCAGTTCATCCCACATCACACCTATACATGTCCACGCGTGGGAGCTCGGCCGCCTACCCAGGCCGAACTGAACAGCAACTTTGACTGAGGGTGACGGGACAGGTCTCAAGGTGGGTGGACACCTATGTTGACCAACTGGAAGCACGCCGCAAGAGGTCACAGGCCAGGAATCCGTCAGCCTTTTGCACTGCACTGCATTTGCTAGACAAAGCACTGGATCGACCGCACAGCTGAGTTCTATGTGATCTTCTTTGCCACCAATTCAAGTCTACTACAGTCCAAAGATGGAAGCTTTTTGTGCAAGTAAAGGGAGTTATTCGACGCTGCTCTGGTAAGAACATGATGTTTGTGAACTTACCACCGGTAATATTATTGTTATTGTAATGCTTATATATATATATATATATATATATATATATATATATATATATATATATATCTGTAATATGCACCGGATGAGATACAGACAAATCTATCCGGATACAAATGGTGCAACGTAACTCTATTCTCTTTTCAAGCTCATGTCGGGAAAAGCGGGCTTCAAATTATTAGAAAATGACACCAATTTTCAGTTTATTCACAGCTTCACAAGAATTACGCTATAAAATGTTCAGAAGGTTATCACAAGCCAAAACTTGCACTTGAAAATTATGATGGTGAACTTTTGTAATGAAGTATAGAATACCATCAAATTGGAGTGCCATAGGAATGAGCTCTCGATTTTTCTATTTTGTATTCCACGTTTGCGCAGCTATGCAGAAGACGCATGCGCCGGAACCTCAGAGGCTCATCGCACTAACAAGAATATCCAATGAATTTGATCCTGAGAGCTGAAGTGGAGCACTGCATGTGGTGTGAATAGGTGACGAGTTGTACGATGGTGGACCACTCTTTATTACTGTTGTAAACGTCACTGGTTGGGTTCAAACTCCACAAGTACGAGGTAAATGAGACTAATACCACTAGACCAAAATCAGTCAAAGTTTCATACCTAGTTACCAAATAAAACCAAATTTATGTCTAACAAAGCTGTTATCAGTGGGACCTAACTTAAGACAATTTGATTGACCATAACTTATTAACCTTATATTAAGGAAAGCACAGTTCATCGGGGACCGTTTTTGATTGCATATCCATATACGAGCCGTACAGATTGATCACGAGGATACTTTGTAATATTTCGTACACCGACGGTACTGGTTATGAAACACAAGGACCTAGTTCATATAAGGCCCCAAATGGTCAGTCGCTATGGTAATCCGCGCGACAATCAAACTGTCTATCATTACTGTGAGGGTAGGGACTGACCCATCGTCGATAGACAGCCAAGTCCCGTTAGCAGTCAGTCCGTCAGCGCCTGTCCGAATTCCAGGTCAAGTTTTGAGCGAACAGAATCACGAACGACAAGACAAGGAATCAATATGGCGGAAAAGGATTCGCGGCAATTGGTGGTTGGCCGGATCACCAATCAGAAGAGATGCTCCCCGGTGCCAGTTCGACCCAGTTAGATTGTGATGCGACAAACGGTGACAATGACTCTTGCTAACTGCATGAAACGTACGTTTTCTATTAGTAAACAATTATTCAAAGGCAAAAAAGTCTCCTTGGACCTAGCGCGACGGAACAGAGGAAGCACCATAGTCAATTTGCCGATCATTTCATGAAAGCCTCCGATTTGTGCGAACTTTTCTAGTAGAATCGTTCGTATGATGAAATGAAACTAAAGCACAGTCCCACTAGGATCGCGATGACCCAAAAACGTTTATTCGCAGCAGCTTAAACCGTTCATATAGAAAAGTTGAGTTCCTTTACAAAATTCGTAGGTATAATCTAGCTCAGTGTGTTCTTTAGGAATGAATACTCCCGGGGGGTTTAAATTCCTAACACTCCTACTGAAAACGGTAACAGTGATTAGATTTTGACGTCTTCTAATTTCTCGCGAGAAAAACTACGTTGCGTTGTCCACTTGAGAAGACGGCGGACGACACTGAAATTCGTAATTTGCGCCTTTGAAAGTGCTATTTTAACCAACTGCGTAAAAAAAGTGGGACCGTTAATGGTTCGTCAGCCAACATCGAATCGTTTATTGTTATTAAGCAGGTCATGCTGGTCAATTTAGCACCGTCTTGCGTAGAAAGCCCGAGTCCAGTAGCAGCGGTATGACGTCCATTACCATAGTGTTTCTCAGTAACCTGTTTGCGATGTAATTTCGTATGTTTTTTCTGGTTTCCTGAATTTGAAAAGAACTTCAACGAATCTGGTACAGTTGGAGCAACCACTAACCGATGGCTAATTCTCAGCAGCAACCCAACTAGGAAACCGAAATTATCCCCAGTTTGAAAAAGTAAGGAGGGAACTTAAATAAATGATAGATGTGAATACAAAACCCATTTTTCATAATCCGAAGTCATATCTTCCTGCCTATAATCACTAGTTGGAGGCATCTCGTGGAAGCCTGACACACCATAAATATCTTGGCACAGCGGTCCAGCTTTTAAGGTTATCTTCCCCGTTACGGACTGGCTGCCTAATGTCACTTATCTTATCAAGATTGATGCAGCACTTGATAAGTGGTATATGATGAATTAGTTAAGTCCACATCAACAATCCGACGATGCGTTGAACCTGGTTATTGCACTTTTTCTATTAAGTTGCTTGCGTCGATGGAACTAATATTTGCATATTGGTGTTGATTGTCAGCTACCTGGCGTCAATTTCATTCAAGTCATCAATTGGTATGATAACCACGTTAGTTAGCCATGGCTGAATGCACTGTAACTGCGATTATTGTGTGCACGGTCATCGATGCTTAACTTAACTTCGGACACAACGCATGTGGTCCGGTGACTGAGGGAGTCTCCGAGAACTACGGTTAGGAACCAGTTCAAATAGCTTGGGAGAATGCTGGACTTGTTTGGAAATTATATTTGACTTCACCTCACAAAATGAAACTAACTGTACTGTTTTAATTCCGACGCTGTCGACCAAAACACGACATCGAAATAGATGGAATAAGGATGTTAACACTGTCAGATCGTGAGTTAAACAGCATTATCCAACAACCTGCTACTCACGTATACTCACCTCAGTAAAACATACGCAAGGCAAAAGCATCCCTGAATCAGTCACATGCAAAACTGCTTCAACAGTAGAATGGCTGGGGAGCCCAACTGGTTGATCAGACGACAGACCATTGGTCCACAGATTTTCCACGATTTCCGTCAATCACTTTATTAGTAGTCAATGAAATAACCAATTAGATCATCAGTGCCTACTCAAAAAAATCCTATCAACGTCTAAGCGGCCAAAACGCAGGGCTTAGCCATGGGCTTATTACAAGCCCTACAGACCATATCAATAAAATACGGAGATAAACAACGACAAATTATGATGTCGATAACAGGATGTACATTTGTTCGTCCTTCTCCAGTTATCATCATCGCCGTACAGCACTAAACAGTAGAGCAAGCCCTTCTGACCACCGCCTATCTCCAGTCATATTCGTACCAATGAGTGTAGGCTGTTTGAGGTTGCCGCCATCCTCAGCTAGAGACGAATGGGCATAAATGGACCTCAGTGACATTTCAATCTCCCTCAGTGGAACCATCAGTTTATCTTGTCAATCGGTATCAGCAATTCTCAAAAACGATGAATCCCACAGACTACCATTAACGACTTGAGAATTAATTACCAAAAAACAACTGTCTCGCCACAATGGATTTCCTAAATGCTACGGTGGGTAGGTATATTCCAGATTACCTTTACGTTTGTGTTTTTCTACCTTCAGTCACAAAGTTCACTGAGTGATAATTACAACAAACAGTGGTTATCCTGGCGATTGCACACAAAAAGAGCTAGAACATGTTCCATTTACGTTTATCCTGGTATGATATTGTTTCATTCTGCTGCTCAGTATATCATTCTCTAACTGTCACCCCCAGATCAGTATTGGTAGATGTTCTAAGACCCCTCTAATATTAGCCACTCCTACACATCCAGCAAACTTTCCTGTATTCGCCGTGCATCGTTTACCCAATGACCCCATTCTCATCAGGGGTGCAGTCACGTAATTTATTATTATTGTTGTTATTATACAGGCTTGAACATATTTTTAAGGAGTTGTCAGTTGTCGGGAAAAATGGGGAGAGATTCTACACACCAAAACGGGTTAACAGCTTAGAGAAAACTACGTCCTTGTTTGCTAAAACACGAGCAAGGAACGGAACTACGGAACTGCTGTCCAACGATAATTTAAAAATGTAGCTGAAACGAGCAACAGGTCGACAAGTGTGACCGATTCCGAGAAAAGTCGCAATGCAGCGGGTGTGAACAGTCAGCAGTGATCTTTTCGGCAAATAAATTGGATGCCATTACGTGCTTATCACATTAGTCCGATATGAGGCCTTTTAAGGCTATACCCGAAACACGACTGATGATGCGCAGACTTCTACGAAGAGTGATATAGTCATTTTTCAACAGGCGATCAAAATTACGGGTGAACATTATTGAACTATAGGAAATGTACACTGGCGTACCGAGGAAGAAATAACACTGGAGAGCACTGAACAGTCAAAGTACATGAATATGATAATGATAAATGATAATAACCGCAGTTTTCTAACAGTAATTTAAAATGCTACGACCAATGTAAGTTCTCTAGTAAAGTCACACCGAGATATTTAACACGGTTTACACTTGCAATAGGAGTAGAATTAATAGTGATGCTGTCTTCTACAAAGGGCGATCGTAAAATGGGTACAATGCATTCTTGACATTTGGCATTGTTTAACAGAAAACCAGACTGCTCAGAAAAGTGTCGGATACGGACAGCATTTCCATGAAACTCACCTAATTCAGACTACCGGGAGACAGACCAACTCAAAAGATCCTCATCGGTATAGCTGAATAAACGAGCTAAGTGGGTTACAGCTAAGTCACCAATGCACGTATTGAATACGTATGGAGAATGAACAGCTCCTTAGAAAAAGCCACGATACCTAGTGGAATTACACAGATCGTTGAAGAATTTTGCGGTGAAATTGGCTAGACACAATCTTGTATCAGATGTAGAGCGCCGAGGTTTATATGCGCAGAACCCCTGTAGTTCCGTTCCTTGCTCGTGTTTTAGCAAACAAGGACGTAGTTTTCTCTAAGCTGTTAACCCGTTTTGGTGTGTAGAATCTCTCCCCATTTTTCCCGACAACTGACAACTCCTTAAAAATATGTTCAAGCCTGTATAATAACAACAATAATAATAAATTACGTGACTGCACCCCTGATGAGAATGGGGTCATTGGGTAAACGATGCACGGCGAATACAGGAAAGTTTGCTGGATGTGTAGGAGTGGCTAATATTAGAGGGGTCTTAGAACATCTACCAATACTGATCTGGGGGTGACAGTTAGAGAATGATATACTGAGCAGCAGAATGAAACAATATCATACCAGGATAAACGTAAATGGAACATGTTCTAGCTCTTTTTGTGTGCAATCGCCAGGATAACCACTGTTTGTTGTAATTATCACTCAGTGAACTTTGTGACTGAAGGTAGAAAAACACAAACGTAAAGGTAATCTGGAATATACCTACCCACCGTAGCATTTAGGAAATCCATTGTGGCGAGACAGTTGTTTTTTGGTAATTAATTCTCAAGTCGTTAATGGTAGTCTGTGGGATTCATCGTTTTTGAGAATTGCTGATACCGATTGACAAGATAAACTGATGGTTCCACTGAGGGAGATTGAAATGTCACTGAGGTCCATTTATGCCCATTCGTCTCTAGCTGAGGATGGCGGTATCCTTGTGATATTCTGTGAACGGGGTCTTATTGATCTCTACGTTTAGTAAAATGGGTTATGGTCGAAAAGGTTCTAGAAACGTACGTTCTTTTACGCTGTGAGGATGGCGGATAGTCATGTCGACCCAGCTGTGGACAGGAAATAAACATAGGAATTGGTTAAGCTGGTTCATGTAAGTTACATCGATTATATAGCGCAGGTAATGCATAACAGACAAAAGACCGCCCACATTTTTAGGCATATGTTGTGTTCTGAACGCCTGATGGCTACCAGACCGTTTCGATCTAACTCTGTCGTTCAAATATATGTTCCCTATTCGTTGTCCGAAGCAGATTTAGCCCAAAAGCTACTGGTACAAATAATCCACCATCCATGGAACCAGTCACATTCCTTTATTCTATTTTCGTCTTAGTTACTATCGCAGTTTCGTGCACATATCACACTGTTTTATGAAATCGATTAGAAAATGTCTGACTGAAGGTTAGCATCTAGCTGTGTTCGTCTTCGGATATAGTACGCAGTGCTCCAAACTGAATAATTCCGGGAATTCCACATCAAACCAGCGAAATGCGGTGAGAAAACAATTGGTGCACTAGTGGTCGAAAGGTCATCACCGTGAAATTTAGTCTGTGATGTCCCAGGTTCCAGTCCTGACACCGCCGATCACTTCGTCATTCAACAGCCATTGAGTAACCGCGCCCACCTTCCAAAGCTATCGTGCACTGTCGTATAACAACTGAAGGAAATAAAAGGTTATTTCTCTTTTGTTTTGTCATGGCGGTTGTCTGTTCGGGTGGCTTCACTTTGGAAAAGCTACCTTCCATTAAAATTAAGACAAGTAGATTTCATTCATGATATCACTTCCTTACAGAACTGTTTAATTATCGAGAAAATCAATTTTCCTATCTCTCTGTCAAATTTGTTTATGTCTTTGCACTACCACTGTAAATTGTCCTAACTTACTGTAACCCTATGGTAATGGTATTCCGTTTTCGATTTTTGCTATCGGCTACTATTTCAGTATTTTGACCTTATTCATCAGTTCTTCTGAATTATAAGCCACTTTAAATTTGATCACGTTTTAGCTTGACCCGCCAAGTGACGGTGTTTCCCAACTAAGACCGTGGATACTTCATCTCAAATGTAGGTTTTGCTTCCGTTATCCATTTTTCTTGCTTGTGACGACATGCATCACTGATACAACTATTTTATTATTACAGAATTACACTATTTTACCGAGAACTTGACTGTCTTCTGGCATTATATGGACCTCAGGTGCGTCTATTCGGGTGGCAAGCCAACTTAAATCGCTAACAATTGATTTTCCAGGAGAGGTCATTCGCTTGTGCGAATATTGGTCTAGGAGTTCCGACCCAAGTGTCACTGTATCAAGTGTATGGATCACGCGTGCTGCTGCCCGACCAGACCAAAAGTGTTCAGCGTCTTCTGTGTTCTGTCTCAGCAGTGGCTTATTCCGTGTGTGGCTTGTTAACACAGAGTGGAATCTATGTTATTTCAGTCTCTGTGAATTGGGACGTTAAGCGTCAGTTTTGTGTTTGTGTGACCTGATGATACAACCTCATAGAGCTGTCCGAGATCGCAAGTACTGATGAGATAGTTTCGTCGCTGATAGAACGGTGTTTTCTTAGCACATGAACTAGTTTTATCTATAACTTTGTCTACCAGCTTTGTTCCTATATTTCATAACTCAGACGGATGCACTGCAATCCTAGTTGTATTGTACTGATTTTAGTGAGTTAACATGATTAACTAGGGAGCCTCGTCGACATTTTAACGTCGTCAGTGAGTATTTAGAAGAAAAAAATTTCGGTGTAACCAACAAAGTCAATGAACTGAAGGTTCCCATGACAATTTCACTCACGTGTGTTCTTCCTTCTTAATTTTCGTCTTTTGTTTTCGAAGTACAAACACAATGGTTGTCACAACGAGCACGAATGCAATAAATGACACTGACCAATAAAGAGAAAGAAACAATGTGTCAAAAAATGTAGGTTTCAACAGTGTTCTTTGCGTTGATCAGATACCGAAGTTATCGGTAAAACTAATTTATTCCGAAATCTTCAACTACATCAGTTGTTTGTGTAACGTTTTTCTCAAACTAACAAATCCTTCAACGCTTAGAACAGTTCGAATGTTTCCGAAAACTTAGAACCGTATGGCATGCCTTTTAGGTACGTGCAGAGCTAGCGGACGATTGGCAGTAGTCGACTGAGATCTGAATTTTGAATCTCGATTTCAGTGTCATTTCTGCACGGGAAGTTTAACAGCTTTCGCACTCTGTGAGGCACATTACCCGGGATAAACTGATTTATCTGGATCACCTTTAGAAACTGTGTGCACATCTAATACAGTCGTGGATCGACGTATCAGTATGTCCAATTTTGATCGACTTAGGTGGTTTAGTTCAAAAGGAATCGCAGACAAGTAGGCTGGGTTACATAGGTTTTTGATCATTAAATAAGAGGGTAAAATGGTAGCTTCTACCTTCGATCTCTTATTAGGTTCGAAACCATGTATGGCCAGATTTTTCAAATTTTCGACATTTCACTTCTGACAAAAGGATCTATAAGGAGCTTGGTGTGCAACACTTGGTGTTGCTCACACTTTTGGACGGAAAAAATTTTGACTATATTTTGGCGTGCATGTTAGTTTAATTAAAAAAGATAGTTGTTAATGCATCCGGCTCGTATAATCCGGTTCGTTCACACACAAGAAATTTCGCCGGAGGCCAAATTACAAGCACAGTGGTGGATACCTTACTTCACCGTAACTTTTGGACGAGCAACAAATGTGATCTGTTTGCAAAATGTACGAAGCTCCCTGGGCCGTGGTCTGGTAGCTCGGTAGAAGCAATTGGTAGTCACTCGGCGGCTGTTCATTTCACTGAGTAAATCGGAACTAACTTATATATTTGACTGAGGTTTCACGAGGCAAATAACGACAGCCCACTGAATTCGGGCTAGGAGAAAACATCACTTTATCCGCTATTTCGTAAAAACTATCTCATGAGGCGGTGACATGCCTGAAAACTCAAAAGGTTTACTAACCTGCGATGATTATTGCGAACAGCGGTATTGGAATCCCATTAATTCTACCAGTACCTAGTAAAAATGCAATAAGGAAAGTGAGTGTCGCTACAACAGTTACAAACAACTTAGTTTATTTAGTAAAAATTACTGAATATTGAGAAACTTTGCTGGATATGAAGAATGACAGGTTAAATGTGGATCATATTATCTGCAAAAATGGTCGTATATTTTACACTCAAACAATGTGGTCCAGTTGACCTCATCGACGTTTTTTTATTTCACGAGTTTTACCAGTTGTGTTGGAGAACCACTGCACTAGAAGGGTATCACAATTAGAATCAGTTTTCCGAGACAACTGTTTTCAATGATTTATTCTCCAATCTTTACGAATCATACAGGAAATGGTTGTGCTGAAATGATCAAGGGTCATTCGGACTGGACATAGTTTGTGGGACGTGGTTGGGGTTAGATCGAAGTGTGGATCCGTGCGACTAAGTCGTGACAGTCACATAGTTCGGAGCTGAGTCATTGGGGTGGGGGTGGTCCAGTTGTGGCCAGGGTAATTGAAAGGCTTGGGAGAATTTCTTCTGTGTACACAAAGCAGGTACGAAAAGACGGATGCTAATCGCCTCAGCGGTGGCCAGTATATGTAAGCAAATTTGTTCAAGGGGATCGGGGGGGGGGGTAATCTATGGACGATTTGAATGCCAAATCCATGCTTATTTGGTGACATGAGTCTACCAAATGCCCGGGAATGGCACTCCCTGTGGTTCCTGTTCCTCCATGTTGTAGCCACCGTGGGCAGTGTCTCTTAATTCTTTGGGATAGTTGCCTTGCCGTTCGGCTTATGTTGGTTGCATTACATTTACATCTGAACAATGCTGGCCACCTCGACCGTAATCTAGCCCCATAAACACATCCGCTTACACATACTGGCCACCGCTGAGGCGATTAGCATCCGTCTTTTCGTACCTGTTTTGTGTACACAGAAGAAATTCTTCCAAGCCTTTCAATTACCCTGGCCACAACTGGACCACCCCCACCCCAATGACTCAGCTCCGAACTATGTGACTGTCACGACTTAGTCGCACGGATCCACACTTCGATCTAACCCCAACCACGTCCCACAAACTATGTCCAGTCCGAATGACCCTTGACCATTTCAGCACAACCATTTCCTGTATGATTCGTGAAGACTGGAGAATGAATCATTGAGAACAACTGTTTGTCTCTGAGAACGTGTTTCGATGTCACAATGTGCATATTCTAGAATCAGTTTGCCTAATATGGATCACCAACCGTACTTGCTCCGTATCGAAGTGATATAACAATCTTTAATACACTTTTCGCATGAAAATAGTTTTTATACGCCTTTTGACTACGCTGATATTGTTCCAGTTTCAGGAATTGAATGTAAAATAATTTGTTGAACTTTAATGTTGGTGTATTGTTTTTCTTGAGGCATGCCATTCAATTCCGGCTGGAAGCGAGCATAACGAAACACGTCTCAAAACAAGACTTTCATTGGACGCAAATTACTACAGAGATCGCGAAATCCGGTGGTCGTAAAGTGCATCATAATGGGATTGCACTGCCACAATAGGAAATTCCCTCAAACTGTTCGATCTCTTTCGTGCCGGCGGTATGAAACCATTAGGTGTGATCAAAGTTAATGGTTCACTAATTATAATCAGCAGCTGGATCTCGAATGCCAAGTGAAGCACTTTCAGACACAGTTTACCTGGCTTCTCGGCACTCGTCCCGTAATCTGTTTCTACAGATCCACAAGGAAATTCAACCGCTAGGACATCACAAAATGCCGGGATCCAATGGCTTTCCCTTAGCCCCGTTTAAAGATGGTGGAGTACAGCTTATTATGAACTTCGCATTTTGTTCTCCAAACTGTGGAATTAAGAGCAGGTCCCCTACTTGTGGGGGGATCAGTTGTTGCTTCATCTTCGAGATGGGGTTGTGTATTGCTTGGGCTTAACATAAGGGGAGCAGCCTTATCCCAACAGCATCGAAGCTGCTAGTGTTTGTCTAGTAGGTTGCGCCAAACACGTGAAGAGCAGATTCGCAAGGAGTAAGTCGGATTTCACATCGGACGTGGATGCATCGACCAAATCTTCGCCCTCCAGCAGTCACTACAGCACCGTTATAAGAAAGGTAAAAACGTGTTCCAGATCAACGATCATCGGTTTTGTGGGCATTCACAAGGCCTGCAACTCTGTCGACGGAACTGCATTATCGGATTGTTTGTTGAGAAATGGAGTACCTGAAAAGTGTCGGTCCTCAAAGAATTACACTATCCTCCCTCAGATCAGGTCAGTGCTTACGATCAGCTTTTATCAGCCTTCGTCGTCTGCTGAGAAATTCGACAAGATTACAAACATATCTATTCTTTTCAAATTTGCAGTAGAGGATGTGATACGAGTTTTTTTTTTGACTGCTCGAGGGAACAATTTTGACTTTGAATATGCCAATGACATCGCCTCGCTGCTTGATAACGCATAGGCAATGATGCACGTTTCGAACCAATCGATGATTGAAGTATTCAGATACGGTATGCTCCTTGCGCCTCTAACGTGCACGGCGAAGTACTTTTGCAAGACTAACAAGAGCCTGTGCGTTCAATTACCGTGTGTGCTGAGTAGCTAGAAGTAGCTGATAGCTTTGAGTACTTAGGGATCTTGCACATAGCTGGTGGTGGTGCTGAGGAGGAGATCGCACCATGAATAACCAGAGCCAGAGCGGCTTTTGCTAACCTGAGACAGCTGACTTCCTCTTCAGGAGCTGGTGTACAACACCGCTGTTCGCAGTACTCAAATTTACCTTTACGAGGTCTGGCCACTCCATGTTGAGGATGCTCGGCGACATTCTGTGTTCTACAACCAATGTCTCAGAAGCACGGCTCGTGTCTGGTGGGAACATCCAGTGATCCATGAAGAAGTTCGACACCGTGCGTTGGGTATAAATTGCAACCCTTTGACCGAGATAATCGGTCTACGTCAACCATGATCGCTCAGACATGTTTTGCGTATGCCTTCCTCTCGTCTACCTCTCTGGGCTCTATTCGGATTTGTTGGACAGGGTTGAAAGTAGCGACGTGGCAGTCTGGCCATGACTTGGCGTAGGTGTATGAGGAAGCTAGCGTAAGCACTGGCTTCAGTTGAAGTCCCTGCCTTCCTGGTTAGGGCCGGAAGGATGAGGTTGGTCGTTGGTTAGAGAAGTTGAAGGATATGGCCCAAAACAGAAGACGGTGGCGCCAATTCTTCAGGATTAACATGTTCCCATTCCATTACTCATGAACGCAAAGGAAAAAACATCAAAAAGTGGACGGTAAAGTAGAATGCATTCGTTCTTTCTACTGACCACTCTCTCACATTCCGCTGGATTTTTTTCCTGACGTTCCTATTGTTGGGTTACCATTAGTGTTATTGCATTTGTACCAAGCTTTACTTTAGGTCTATGTTTACTGTTATATATATATATATATATATATATATATATATATATATAAGTACCGGTATTAAAACATGAAATTATACAAGCAGTGCACCCTAATGCAACCATTAATTTTGTGAGAGCTCTAACAGTTGAGTTCGCCCACCTCCATTCTCTGTACAGATCTGACATATTCATACGCGAAAACTCACCTCAAACACTTGTCCTTACTTTCTGAATCGGTTCGTTTAGTTTGTTATCGTCTTAGCGTATGCCATTCACTTATGGTTGCTTGATATCACCTAAGCTCATTCTACTCCCCATGCTTACCAGCCCCCCCCCCATATGAATATCTGAATACAGACCTGAGAAAAGAAATTTCTTCGCGCCCCCAATACTTGTATTTATGGGCTGGATATTTTACGATTTTCAATTAAAAGGTTTCATCCTTTTGGACAACGTTTGCGCACCACAACTCATCTGGTCCTTTCTACAATCAGTAGCATATACTGACCCTTGACCATTTCAGCACAACCATTTCCTATATGATTTGTAAAGACTAAAGAATGAATCATTGAAAACAATTGTTCTGATGTCACAAGATACACTAGTTCTCGAGGTTATGCTGGTCTTATTCGGATAATTTTATACAAGCGTTTGTAGATTTTTCTCACTTTCTGATTCGTCTGTACACAAGTTCTTGTATATGGAACCTGGCTTTTTCCTCGCTAACAAATTTTTGAACTAGCCCCAAACCCAAATTCAAATTTATATTGTCATGCGATTATTGAATCCAGTGTCCGGCGTTTTGTTGCTGTGTCCTGTAAATCAGCGTTAGATGTTCCGGCTTATGGATTTCCAGTGAGTTCGTCTACTGATTGTTGTAAATATCTGTGTCCATGTTTTGTTCACGTTAATCTTATCGTAATGGGATCACAAATCAGTCCACTTCACGTCGTAACTAATGTCCTTTCACGCTCATCGGGTTGCACTTGACTGGCCAGACTTTTCTGTCGCCTCGGACGCACCATCCAATCAAGTGTCGTTATTGATTTGCTCTAGCGTTACCTTTGTCATTGTAAAACTCATTGTATCCTTCTAGTCCAGAGACTCTCGTTCTCTTTCTGAACGGCATATTCAAAGCCCTCCGCCACAGCAATTTCTGGCGAAGATGGACAATGGTTATTCCGGTGGAATCTATGCAGCAGCTACTCAAGCAACAACCAGAATGGAATCCAGTAGAGCAAGAAGTGAAAAACCGGAAAATACCGATTGTCAAGACGCTGTCCCAAAGTATGAGTGAATTTCACTACGAGCCTGATAATGGTATAACATTTGACTCGTGATATGGCAGATACGAAGACGTTCCTAAAGTTGATGGAGCCACTGTCGATGTTGCCGCTCGATTACTTCTTTCGAATAAACTGGGCCCGGATGAATACCACAAGTACTGTGATTTCACTGGCCCAACATATAAAAGGGACCTTGATTTAGCAAATAGTAAAACACCTTAGTGCCATTTTTTGTGAACTCCCCTTTTTGTTAAACACGCGTTGCCAATGTTTGCAACTTTCAAACAGTGCTGGCAACGACTCTGTCCTCCCCAAAGGTCACGGTAGTCGTTAATA